GCGGGCGACCATGCACTGGGCCGCCGTCCTCGCCCTCCTGCTGCTCGGTGCCCACCGCGGGGCGCTGGGCAAGAATCTGAAGTACCGGATCTACGAGGAGCAGCGGGTGGGCTCGGTCATCGCGCGGCTCTCGGAGGACGTGGCGGATGTGCTGGCGAGGCCCCCCGGCCCGTCTTCCGTTCGCTTCCGAGCCATGCAGCGGGGAAGCTCGCCTCTGCTGGTGGTCAGCGAGGACACGGGGGAAATCAGCATCGGGGCGAACATCGACCGCGAGCAACTGTGCCAGAAGAACTTGAACTGCTCCGTGGAGTTCGATGTCATCACCCTGCCCACCGAGCACCTGCAGCTCTTCCACATCGAGGTGGAGGTGCTGGACATCAACGACAACGCCCCGCAGTTCTCCAGAGCGCTCATCCCCATCGAGATCTCCGAGAGCGCCGCCGTGGGGACGCGCATCCCCCTGGACAGCGCCTTCGACCCGGACGTGGGGGAGAATGCCCTGCACACCTACTCGCTCTCCGCCAATGATTTCTTTGACATCGAGGTTCGCACCAGGACTGATGGAGCCAAGTACGCCGAGCTCATCGTGGCCAGGGAGCTGGATCGGGAGCTGGAGTCCAGCTACGAGCTCCAGCTCACCGCCTCCGACATGGGGGTGCCTCAGAGGTCCGGCTCCTCGCTGCTGAAAATAAGCATTTCGGACTCGAACGACAACAGCCCGGCTTTTGAGCAGCCGTCTTACATAATCCAGCTCCCAGAGAACTCCCCCGTGGGCACGCTGCTGCTGGACCTCAACGCCACCGACCCGGACGAGGGCGCTAACGGGAAGATCGTCTATTCCTTCAGCAGTCACGTGTCCCCCAAAATTATAGAAACCTTTCGAATCGATTCCGAGCGGGGGCACTTGACCCTCTTCAAGCAGGTGGATTACGAGCTCACCAAGTCCTACGAGATCGACGTGCAGGCGCAAGACCTGGGGCCCAACTCCATCCCAGCGCACTGCAAGATCATCATCAAGGTGGTGGATGTCAACGACAACAGACCCGAGATTAACATCAACCTCATGTCCCCTGGCAAAGAGGAGGTGTCTTATGTCTTTGAAGGGGACCCTGTTGACACGTTCGTGGCTCTGGTCAGGGTTCAGGACAAGGACTCTGGGCTGAATGGGGAGATCGTCTGCAGACTCCACGGACATGGGCACTTTAAGCTTCAGAAGACGTATGAAAACAATTATTTAATTTTGACGAACGCCACCTTGGATAGGGAGAAGCGGTCCGAGTACAGTCTGACCGTGATCGCGGAGGACAAGGGGACCCCCAGTCTTTCCACAGTGAAACACTTCACCGTTCAAATCAGTGATATAAACGACAATCCGCCCCACTTCCAGAGAAGTCGCTACGAGTTTGCCATCTCCGAGAATAACTCCCCCGGGGCTTACATCACCACCGTCACCGCCACCGACCCCGACCTGGGGGACAACGGGCGAGTCACCTACACCATTTTGGAGAGTTTCATCCTGGGGAGCTCCATCACGACGTACGTGACCATCGACCCCTCCAACGGGGCCATCTACGCCCTCCGGATCTTCGATCATGAAGAAGTGAGCCAGATCACGTTTGTGGTGGAGGCCAGGGATGGGGGCAGCCCCCGGCAGCTGGCCGGCAACACCACCGTGGCGCTCACCATCATCGACGAGAACGACAACGTCCCCGTGGTCATCGCGCCCGTCCTGCGCAACAACACGGCCGAGATCGCCATCCCCCAGGGGGCGGAAAGCGGCTTCCATGTCACAAGGGTGCGGGCGATCGACAGAGACTCTGGCCTGAACGCCGAACTGAGCTGCACCATCGCAGGGGGCAACGAGGAGAACGTCTTTGTCATCGACCCGCGGTCCTGCGACATCCATACCAACGTGAGCATGGAGTCTGTCCCCGCCAGAGAGTGGGAGCTCGCCGTCGTCATCCAAGACAGAGGCAGCCCCCAGCTGCACACCCGTGTCCTGCTCAAGTGCACCGTCTTCGAATACACAGAGTCGGTGACCAGCACGGCCGTGACCTCGGTGAGCCAGGCGCCCTGGGACGTCTCCATGATCATCATCATCTCCCTGGGCGCCATCTGTGCCGTCTTGTTGGTCATCATGGTGCTGTTTGCCACCAGGTGTAACCGGGAGAAGAAGGACACCCGGTCCTATAACTGCAGGGTGGCAGAGTCCACCTATCAGCACCACCCGAAGAGACCATCCAGGCAGATTCACAAGGGGGACATCACACTGGTGCCCACCGTGAACGGCACCCTGCCCATCAGGTCTCACCACCGGTCCTCCCCGTCCTCGTCGCCCGCCCTGGAACGGGGACAGATGAGTAGCCGGCAGAGCCACCACAGCCACCAGTCCCTCAACAGCTTGGTGACCATCTCCTCCAACCACGTGCCGGAGAACTTCTCCTTGGAGCTCACCCACGCCACTCCCGCCGTTGAGGTAAGGCCGCCGGGCCTGTGCACCCCCAGCCAGCCCGGAGCCCCTGGGTTCCTCCAGCTTTCTCACAGGACAGTGTGGTCTCGCCAGTTCAGTAGGGCCTGGGTCGCTTGAGGTCTCGGCCTCAGCTCTAAGGTCCCTGGCATCCTCTCTGCTGTTTCCTTAAGGAACTGCCCTGTGTGCACTGGGGAGCATGTTGGAAAAGAGCTGGAGCTCTGAGGGGACTGCTAGAGTCCCCCCACCTCCCGGATGAACAAACCGGAAGCCAACACAGAGGGGCTGGCTTTAGTCTCACGGCTGTGGTCTCTCCTGAAAAGTCAGAACCCGGCACTCCGGGTTCCTCTTGCCACGCGTGTCACGCGGGCCAGCTTCTGAAAATGCCCTGCGGGTGTCTCACCTGCCGTGTCGCACTGGCGGGTGCGTCAGCCTCTGCCCTGGGGTGTTCTTTGCCCTCACGCCTCTGAACTGCCAAACACAGAAAACCAGTCATCTTTCCAAAAGCAAAGGCCGGTTGTGTGTGGTCTGCAAATGTCTCTGCTGTGCCTGTGTGCGTGTGCGTGCGTGGCTGGGGGCAGGCTGGCCTGCCTGCCGGCCCTGCTTGGGCTCGGGTCTGGAGGGAGGGCCTGTGTTCGTGACGGGGGCTCAAGTAGCTACGAACTGCCCTTGCCTAGAGCTGTGTGTCGGAGGTCTGTTTCCAGGAATCAGCGCTGTTGCTCGGTTTCCAGCAGGTCTCCCAGCTTCTCTCAATGCTGCATCAGGGCCAGTACCAGCCAAGGCCAAGTTTCCGAGGCAACAAATACTCCAGGAGCTATAGGTATGCATCACCCCAATGTGCCCCAGGAGTCTCCGGTAACACGCGTGCTGACGAGTAAAACCTGTGCTTCCGTGATTTATCCCCTAGATACGCCCTCCAAGACATGGACAAATTTAGCTTGAAAGACAGTGGCCGTGGGGACAGCGAAGCGGGAGACAGTGATTATGATTTGGGGCGAGACTCCCCCATAGACAGACTGCTGGGCGAAGGATTCAGCGACCTGTTTCTCACAGATGGAAGAGTCCCGGCAGGTAAGAGGGTCGCGCGAGAGAATCCTCATGCTCAGATGTCCTGCCCCGGCAAGTGAACAGTTTCCTCCCTGCCGTGTGGCTTTCCTGTCCTTGCACTGAAGCCTCTGTGTTCTGCAGGCTGCTCCAGTCAACAAACTGAAGCAATTCAGAATGATTTCCTTAAAAGTCATATAAAGCAAATGATAGAGAAGGAGACTCAGAGGAGAGCTTGGCAGGGAGGAAAGAAGGAGCCAGGCAGAGAAGAAGACGGAAAACCACCCTGCCTCCCTCCTCTCTCTGCTGGTTCCGCTCCAGCACTGCTCGGGCCACTCTTGAACAACTCTTTCTAAAATTACTGGGTGCTTGTTTCTATTCAGAAGGACTGCTGGCTGCTTTGTGGTGAGCTGGGCTATAATTGAGAGGACACATATCCTGGGCTGGAAACCAACCGATAGACGCAGAGATTAAAATACACGAGGGAATGGTACACTTTGCTCGCTAAAAACAGGAGAGGACTGCACCTCGGTAGGTGGTCAGCAAGGCCTGTTTCCTGGCACCTCTCATTTTCTGTCTGCAGGGCAGTGGAGAGGACCAGGAGCCCAAGAGGGGGTTTACCAGGTCAGGCGAGGTGGAGGAGATACGTGTGCGCCACGTTTTCCCTCCACTGCCTGCCCTCTCCCTGCGAGACTGAAGTCCGCAAGGCGACTGGGCTCACTCTAGCCTCCTTACTACAAAAGATGGCAAGAGAGGTCAAGCCTTGGGGCACATAAAAGCTTCTTCAGCTGCTCATATGTCTAAATTCCACAGAACGTTCATCGAGTGCTTGGCACTTCATGAAAGGGAGAGGCCAGACGCAACTACGCGACCTGCCTCAGCTCCCTGGGACTTTGGTTTCCAGCCACAGATCAGTAAGAGGGCTTGAGAACAGACGCAACTGAGTTTGGGTGGCCTCACAGGCCTGTCAGGCAGAAGACAGGACGTGGGGCCTCAGGTTGCCCCACGAAGGCCAGGGCACGCTAAGGAGGTGGGCTTCTCCCTTCAGCTCTGCCGACAGGTCACCATTTCAGGGACTCAAGTCGGTCAGACCCGGCAGGCCGGGCTGTGGTCATGGGGGCCAGTCCCCAGGGATGTGCCAGCCTTCCCTCTAGCCCGGATGCCTCTGTCCGTCCTTCGTTCTCCAACGCCTTGGCACAGGGAGTGGGAGAAGTAGAAAGCTCAGAAGCTTCTTGCAGAAAAGAAGACTTCTGAAATGATCAACAGAACTCTGCCACGCCCAGGGTGATGGCAGTGCTCATGTACTTTGCGGTTAAAAACTGAAGCTTATAAAGTTAAAAAAAGGTGTCTAAAGTCAAGCAGTTTACAGATGGGAGAGGCGAGATGGCAGCCAACTGCATACTTCTAGAATGAACAAGCGCCTCTGCAGTAACAGGCTCATATATATATATATATATATATATATATATATATACACACACACACACATATACATATATATATAAAACATATATATATAAAACATATATACATATATATAAAACATATATATAATATATATACCATATATGACATATATATACACCATATATATGTTACATATGTAATATATGTAACATATATATAGTATATTTTATTTATATATACACACACACACACATATATATATAGTATATATAAATGTAAATAAGCTAAGTGACACTAGTGCTGTCCACCCCACGGCTGCACAGGCTGCGGGCCTCATGGGGAGGGCCCCGGGGCCTCAGTGGCGTGGCCCCTGGGTCTCTGCAGAGTCCTCCACGGTGTCTTTGTGTTGTGATTTTCCTTCACAGCCTCACTAGGCCAATGTAGAGGCGCATCTCTCTGAAGACCTAGGGGCTGATGGATGCTGTCAGACGCCTCAGAGGGTTTTATCCATCAAATAAAAGCAGGCTGAGCCGCCATGATTCTGTGGTCCAGAAAGTGCTGTACTTTTTGAACATTGATCCCAAGTTTTGCATAGTGTGATTGTTCCAATTGTGTTATTTCATGGAACAGACAAGTAGCATGATGAACATAATAGCAGTGTTACATGTGATGTTTTGAAATGATGTGAAGTCTGTTCATTGAAACTCGGATCTGTCAGCTGAGCTGAAGGGGGGTCCCACCCTGACGAAGAGTGCTGGGCCTTTGTGGGGTGAGCGACGCCTCAGGTCTCCATTCTCTAGTGGCTCATGCGGTTTTGTTTTCAACCACAAAAGGTTTCAAGTCTCTTTTTTCTTTCTTTCTTTTTTTTTAAGATTTATGTATTTTAAGATTTATGTATTTATGTATTTGTGCATACAAAACTGGGGTACAGGTCAGAGGTGTGGGGGGGGTGAGATGCTTCACCAGAGACAGAGTGGGGAGCAGAACAGGCAGATCTACGAAGTACCCTGCTGAGGGGAGCAGCAGATGGGTCCTCAGGAGAGGTCTGCCACGCCCTGTGGGTCACCCCTGGGGCCGGGATCGAACTCTCAGTGAAGCCGCTGGGGGGGGGCTTGCAGTGCCAGGTCCTTACCCGCTGCGCCCCCAGGGAGGGCCCTCAAGCCTCTTCTTTCTTTAGTTTGTCCTTAACTTTCAAAATTGCCACTCAGCCATGTTCAGAGGAGACTTATCTGGTGTTTGAATTACAATAAAAACGACCCTGCTGAGGAATGCTGAAGAATAAAGACATTGGGGGGGCTACAGGGAACACTCCCCAGCCTGGTTTACTGAGCGCTGCAGACTCCTTCCACGTCCCGGCCTTCGCAGCTCCGCAGGCTCCCTTTCCTTTCGTCGCCGTTAACAGCGCCCTTCCTGTGCGGACCGGATATCCCAGGAAATGCTGCTCCGCGGTCACGGTCACTCCTGCGGGACGTGGGCGTGCCCGCTGCTGCGCCTGGAACTGTGTGGCCACTCATGGTCTCTGGCCCGACTCGCCCCTGCGAGTGGGGTGTGGGGGCGGCCGCCGAGGCCGAGGCCTGAGAATCCGTGAGCCCAGCCCAAGGCGAGCTGTGCGGGGTAGCGCGGACAGGCCAGCGTCCTCCACCCGCCCGAGCGCGGACAGGCCAGCGTCCTCCACCCGCCCGAGCGCAGACAGGCCAGCGTCCTCCACCCGCCCGAG